CACCCCCAGTTCCCTCAGCCGCTCCTCATCAGACTTGTTCTCCAGACCCCTCACCAGCTGCTGGTGGTGAGCCTTGCTGGGGCTCGTGCGTACGTCCCTCCCCTCGGGGAGCGAAGGTGGGCTTCGCGGCGGTAGGGAAATGCTGTCCTTGCTAAAAGTGTCCCTCTACTCTCCTTGCTAGCGTCACCTGTGTTTGTCATCCCTGCAGACTGTCATCCCCTTCTACAACCTTGGCGTCCTGATCGCGCTCTTCTCCCCGCGCTGCTCGGACTCCCTGGCCAGCGTTCGCCAGCACGCTGTCGACTGCGTCTACTGCCTGCTCTACATCCAGCTCTGCTACGAAGGTGGGGGCACGGGCGGTGGAGGGTGGTTTCGCCGCTCGGGTGGTCGGAGCCGCCAGCAGGAGCCCTCTTCTCCGCAGCTGGGCAGAGGGGTGCGCATCCCATCCCTCCACGTACGTGATCCCAAAGGAGTGACCCGCAAATGCGGTTTGCTGCAGAAGCAGGGCTGGTGGAGAACATCACTGAAGCGTTTGGGTTTCAAAGGCTCTCTCCAACGCTCGAGTGCAGACGAGCAGGCTTCCGAGCCTGCCGTTCAGCCTGGCGTTCTCCCTCTCTCCAGGAGAGGTCAGTCCTCCACTTCAGATGGAGGCATCGAGAAAAGCACAGCACCTACAGCGCCAGGAGAGGACTTTGTCTGGGTCCTGCTCTCCGGAGCAGCGTGGCTCTTTGTAGGGCAAGCTCTTCTGGCCCTTGGCAGCAGCTTTGGTTTCTTGGCCCCTTCCTGAAAGCTGGGCCAGCTCGCGAGTAAAACCCAGCTCTCTGCAGCCTGTGGGTGTAAAATACGAGGAATGCTGTTCACTGAATGCTCCCTCTGAATCCAGGTTTCGCCCGGGATCACAGAGATGAGATGGTGGAAGGGCTGAAAGCTCTGAAGAAAGGCCTGGAGGAGCCTGACTTCACCATTCTCTTCCATACCTGCAACAACATTGCCATGGTAAGGTGGAGGGCAAATCCAGCACGGCCGTGGTCTTTGCAGGGTGGTGGAGCTGTGGAACGGGAGCTGCAGAGGAGTTGATGCCTCATCTGTTCTGACCAGCCGCACAGTCTGGAGGCTGCCGGGGAGCCCCAGTCTTGCACCAGGAAACAAGCCACTGCAGTCTTCTCCGGCTGGGGAATTTCCCTGGCCTGGCCAGGGGATGCTCAGAGCATCTCGCCCCCAGTGGGAAGCTGCTGGTCCCCGCTTTGGGCATGAGGGCCCCAACGAGGACATCTATGCAGACGGTCTGGGGGCACAGAGGACACCGGCAGGGCTGTGCCTGGCTGTGCTGTGGCTCAGTGCCTCCGTTCAGAGGTCTGACGGGCAGCCTGAACTCTTCAGCCATCAACGCTCCCAGTGCTGGGGTCGAAAACTTACTTTGCTGTAGATAATGCAAATGGTTTCTGTCCATGTCATCTAAAAGCTAAGGTGGACGTGGTCTAGCTCAGCCCTACAGGACCTGCACGGGGCCCCAGCATGTTCCAGGGTGGAGATTTTGGTACGTCGTGCTCCTCAGTGGAAGCTGCTGGCCCAAGGAAGCCCTTGAGGTCCTGTTGCTGGCTGTGCTCTCCTGTGGAGCATGGGGTGGTTGGCTCAGGAGCTGCAGCCACTGGGCTTCTGGCTGCCTCCCAGTATGGGAGCGGTGTTGGTAAAGCTGTTCAGTGCAACTTTACACCCAGGGGGGTCCAAATGTGGCTCTCAAACCACCGTGATTTGAATGACATGGACAGCATCTGGGCTCTGGTGGTGAGGGACGGGATGAGGGGTGACCACTCTGCTCTTGAGAGCTGCATGGGTGAAGTCCTCCTTGATGGCCATTTTCTATGCTGAGAGCTCTGCAAGCATTGCTCCAGAAGGACTTGGATCTGTAGAGAAGCTAGTAGTGTCTTTTTCTCCTGGAAAAGCTGCCGTTCCTCAAATGTTGTCACTCCATTGGACATTCCCCCTACTAACTAATCTACTTAGCGGCTTATTCCACTATCAGGTCTGGAGAGCATGATGAGACCTGGGGGAGCATCCTCCCAGCGGTTGGGTGGTGGCCAGAGCAGAGTTAATGGCTTGGTTGTGCGGTTCCAACCCATCCCAAGAGAGCCCCAGGTTATCTGGCCACGCTGGCCAACAGTGTGGGGCAGGTGGCCTCTTGCCTCCTTCGGGGCTGTGGCCTGGTCCTTGCTCCCCTCCATTACCACCGATTTGGGCTCCTGGCTGATGCTCCTGCAGGGCGCTGAGCCAAGGAACGGCCGTCCTGCTGCCTGCAGCTGGGGAAGCTGCGCAGGGGGCCCTTCATCTGGGCTCTGCCAGTGTCATCGAAGGGACTGCTCTCTTCAGAGACTGACAAAAACCTGTTGCTTAACTCCGCTTGCCCTCTCCCTAGGTGATTGGGAAGCGTGTCCCTCCGGACCAGCTGATGAGCCTCCTGCTCGCCATGTTCGAGGGGCTGGTGGACCCCGATAAGAACTGTTCCCGAGCAGCCACCGTCATGATCAACTCCCTCCTCAAGGAGCGCGGAGGCGTCTTGCAGGAGAAGGTAAGCTGCTGCTGCTTGGCCTCGGCACTGCCTCCGTGGTCCAAATGCAGCCCTGGAGAGGCAGCTCCAGCGGGGGCTTGCTGCCTCCCTTTCTTCTGACGTGCGTAGCCTGATAACTTCCCGCTTGCAGCTCCAGCAGCTGGCTTGCTGGGGGTGATGGGCTTCTCTGGTACAGGCAGGGATGCTCCAGTAAGGGGCAAGCCCTTGGCAGGAGAGGGATGCCCGGCACAGGGAGGGGTCCAGCCCTGATGGAAGAAGGGAGGCATTTAACCCCTGTCTGAAGGGACTCTGTATCGGCTGTTGCTGTTGCATTTCTGGCCAGGGGAACACTTGCCCCAAAGCTTTCGGGGGCCGTCGCTCCCGACCTTCCTCGTTTCCTGTGGGCACGTGCGCTCGCGCGCTCCTCCTCCGTCTTCGCGGTCGGGGAAGGCTGCTGTGTGGTAGGAGGCGGCGGCTGCTGGCGAGGCCGGCTCCGGTCTGGCTCTCGCTCGGGTTGAGGAGTTCAGAGAAGCTCACTTTACCAGAAGGGCTCAGGCTCCCTGTGAAACCTTTGCAGGCTCTGGGGGAGCCCAGGGTTCCTGGCTGGGAAGCCCGTCTGAATGCTTGCAGGGCTTAGAGGTGGTGGACACAGAAGGCTTTTTTGTCTAATCCACTACCTTTAGGGCTAAGCTCCTCCTTTCTCTTGCAGTAATTGGAAACACCAGGTCTCTAGCTACTCCTCGGGCTTTCTTTTGCGCTAGAGCTTCTGCTAAAGTCCTCCTTGCTACCTATTAGCCTCTATCCTACATGGGATTGCTCCAGCTTACATGACTCACCTTTTGGTCAGATCCAGTCCAGCCCAGATCCTGAAATCTGAACTGATGCTAAGCCTCGGAGTCCGTGGGGCAGACCCGAGCGCAGCTGGGGACAGAGCGCTCGCCTGCTCTGCACTTAATCTCAGGAATTCGCTGCCAGGCCTGGTCTGCGCGTGAACTTCCTATTTGTCTTAACATGCGTTTTACGGCTTGCAGCGAGTGCCGAGGTGTCTCCCTGCGTTCAGCTTGAGTTCCTCTCAGGAACTCGCTTGCTGAGCTCCTCTCGCTGCACCCGTGTCGAGGCTGGAGCTTAGCGCGAGTGCCTTGCCAGAAGGCTGTGGCTGGGGGGTTGAGTGTGTCCTTGCCGGGTCCTCTTTCCCCTGGGAATACCCTGCAGCCTCCTCCATCTCCTGGGTGGCAGGGTGGGGAAGGATCCTTGGCTTCCAGAGAGGTCTGTGGTTCTGCATGCACCCAGCCAGCAGGGAGACTTCCCTCAACCGGGAAGATAAACTGCCCTGCCTGATGGTCTGCCCACCCATGTTGTCTCCTGAAGTCCTGTTACCTGCCTGGGCTGCGATCGAGGGGAAGGGACAGAGGTGTCCTGGCCGCAGGGACTGTCTGACGGTGATCCCAAGTGCTTGGCATGTCCTGGCCCTCAGCTGGACGCCGCCGTCTCCTCTCCCCTCAGGTGCCCGACATCATGAGCATCATCCACAGCAAGCTGGAGGAGGTGGACGAGGAGCACATCCGGAAGGCGGCCCAGCAGACGGTTTACATCCTGGCCTCCCAGCACAAGAGCGTGGTGGTGTCCAGCCTGCTGGGCAGCTCGCTGCCCTTTGACAGGTCCTGCCCTGCCCTGCCCTGCCACGGTGGCCCCGTGCCTGCACGTGCTCTCGCGGTGCCTAGGCTTTGGAGCAGCTTTCTCCTAAGCTGCAGCTAATCTTTTGGCTCCTTACCCCAGTAATTAGACCCTGCTGGAATTTCCTTTGCGCGCTCAAGGATCAGCATGGTCGCTTGCTGCCGGAGCTGCCTTTTGGGGGGCTTGCTGGGCTTAGAGGCGCTGGCAGCGGGAACTAGCAAAGCTGGCCCCGGAGCACCGAGCGTGGCTGGGGTGCTCGGTGCTGCTTTGCGGAGCAGGCCACCTACCCCAAAGCTGCTGAACGAGTCGGCGCCAGCCCTGGGCTGAGCCTTGAGCAGATGTCATCCTCCTCCTTGTACTGTAACTGCTGCTCCATTCCTACCATGGCATGCAGGCTTGCAAAGTGCATGGGGCAAGGCAGGAGCTCTCTGGCTGCTGGTCTCAGGGGAGCCGTGGGGTTTTGGGGTTGCAGGGCGGCTCTGGGTGTTGTCCAAGAGCAGCTGCTGGGTGAGGATCGCACGGCACGGCCTCTGCTATCGCAGGAGGCTGCCATTGAGCCTTTCCCTGCACGCAGCTCCCGTGAGCCACCCAGGACGGCTCCCACCCGGGCTTGCTGTTGCAAGGCTCCCGCTTTCTGTGCCGGCTTTGCCGGCAGCGAGGCGCTAGCTGCCGTCGCGGCGGAGCTGGTGAGCCAGGTGGCTCCTGTCTGGCGGTGACGCACTCCTTGTCCGCATTTCTGTGCGGCAGGTGACGTGGTCCCTTGCGCCGGGGAGGGGGCCGACGTTTGCCGCTCCTCAAACGGGGGAGCGAGTAAATGAAGGCAGCCGGTGCCAAAGCAGCGCTCCCCTCCCTCCTCTCCTCTAGCCACACGTGCGCCATGTGGAGGTCCCTGGCCACCGAGCCCACCCTCACCTCACAGATCCTGGAGCAGCTGCTGGAGAAGGTGAACAGGGATGTCCCGTACAAGGAGAGCAAGTGCTTCTTGCTGGGCAGCGGATCCGAGCGCATCGCGACCCCTCTGCCCCTGGCTGTAAGTGTCCCGCTGCCGGCCCGGCCCCGGCCCCGTGAAGGATGCTGTTCCCCACACCAACACCTGGAACGCTTTTTTTCGTTTCCTTGGCCTGGGGGTTTGTGCCAGGCGTGGACTCTGGAAATAACGCATCGCTGTGTAATGCCTATTAGAGCTAATCCACAGGCTCGTAAAAAGCCTCTCAGGTGTCCATCCTCAAGGGACACCACTTTGCATTTTATCCCTTCAGAAAAAATAAACCCAGCTTGGCAGCTTTCTAAGCAGTAAAGCAGCTGTGAAAATTTCCTCCTCCTCTGAAGGACCAAATGCAGATGGTACAGAATCAGCCACACTGAAAGCAAACCCTCCTCCCCTCCCCACTCTGTTTTTAACACCCCTCTATATTGTGCTGTGTAATTACGGCTTTTTAAATTGGCCGGAATAGGGCTCTGCGAAGGGCTCTCTTTGTGCGTCGTCTTCCTGCCCATAAAACCTGAGCTCTCAGATCTGCTCTCCTTCCCCAGGTACAGACTTCAAACCTCCCCTGGCTGGAAACACCCAGCCTTCCCGAGGAGCAGCGCTTTTAATAGCAGCTGTAGCTCCGTTGGAGCCGCGTGTGGGATACGGGGAGGTTACGCTGGGGATAGATGCCGATGCTTTGTTAGACTCGGTGTTGCAGGAAGGAGAAAAAAACCCCCTCGCTGGGTTATTTACTAACAGATATCAGTGTGGTGTGGGAGATCCCCTCCTAATCCTCTTCTCCCGCGCGCTCGCTCTCTCTCCAGGCCACATGTGCTTTGTATGAGATCATGTCTGCTCCGGAGTCTGGGGCAGCAGTGCTGGGACTCTACCCGCCGTTGTTTGTGACTCTCCTGCTGCGCGTCAGCTGCACTGTGGGTGTTCAGCTACCGAAGAACCTGCAGAGCAGGGAGAGGAGGAGCAGCAGCTACGGCCCGGCCCCCCGGAGCCTCCATCCCTGCAGGTACGCGGAGCCGGGGCGCTGGGCGGCCGGTGCGGAGGGAACGCGCCTACCTGCCATGTGGAACTCATTTTTGTTTGTACAAACACAATAGCGTGTGCTGCGTCTGTAATCGGAGGGCTGGGTAATAACACCCGGGCCATAACGCCTTAGGTATGACAGCCTGACCCCTGGTGCGGTTTGGGCTCTGGGTTGGTTTTTTTTTTTTTTCTTTTTTTTGGTGTGTTTTCTTCTGCAGAACACAGTCTCTAAACTGGGAAGCATTAAATCAGCCGCCTCTGCAGCCGCAGTGAAAGATGTGCGTTTCAGAGCTCGGGCAGCCACGGTGCCAGAGCCCTGCTGGATTGGGTTACTGCTGCAGCCTCCCGAAAAAGCCCCGTTGGTTTTCGGGAGCGGGTCTCGGCAGGGCCCCCTGGGTCTTGCTGGGCAGGTCGGGGGCGGATGAGCATTTCTTGGGGAGGGAGGATGGCTCCGCTTCCGTGAAGGATGAGGAGGGAAAGCTGGAAAGAGCAAACTTTTCGGCTTCGTCGTGTTGATGGCTGCAGCATGTCTCGGTCACACCGAATTGCTGCCCGTTGAGCGAGCAGAGCCGGGCCACGATGCCGTCTTCCCCCACGTAGAGGTGGCAGTGCCGAGCCACCGCATCTGCCTTGTCCTCCTTCGGTGCTTTCAGCCCGTGGTGTCCCTCGCCGCTGAGGAGGAGACCCAGGGGTCGGGGGGGGAGGGCTCGGGTCCCGAACAACCGCTTTCCAGCTGCTGTGCCCTCCGCCTGGTTGCGGCGAGCTGCCCGGCCCCTGTTTCTGCAGACGCTTCTGGCTTGTTCTGCTCCTGCTTGTGGGGCTCCTCTGGCAGAGGGCTTAGAAATTAGTGGTGTTGCCCATCACCAGCCTTTAATGAGCTTTCCCTTTACAACCTCCAAGCCTGTGCGTGCGTCTGCGGTGCTGAGGATCTCCATGAAGGTGGGACTTCCCTTCATGTGCAGAGAGCTGCTGCTGGCAGCTTCGCCTTCCCCTGGCCTCTGCCCACGGCATCCCAACTTGAGCAAAACCGTAACGGTTTGGCTACCTCCAGCCAAGACTGTACCCAACATTAACACTTTATTGTCAAAGGTTGGTAAGTGGCCCTCATAGAGTAGCAGAAATACACTGGCCCACTTTGGGCTTGGCTGACGTTGGAAAGGATGGGGCCTCGCAGGACGCTTTCAGTACGACTGTGGGCTGGGGTATCTGCCTGCCAGGGCTGTGCTCCTCCCTGGAGGAGCTGCCCCTGCCCCGGCACGTAGGGTCGCTGCGTCTTCTGGTCTTGGCAAATGCTGTCGAATAGCTGCATGGAGTGGCGATGTGCCGGGCGGGTGCTACGCCGCCCACCTGGGATGCCAACAGCCTCTGCGCTGCCTGGCCTGGCAGGGTGCGATCCGCAGCTTTTTAAAAGGTGTGTTCGGGTCCTGGCCTCTCCCTGGGGCTGGCTCTCCTGGATTTTAAGAGTGGTGCTGTAAAAATGATTTCTCTGTTGTGAGAGCGCCTGAAACCCCAAAGGGCCAATTGCTGAACCCAGGTGAGAGTCACCACAGCTGCTAAATAATCTGCTGCTCAAGCCAAACAGCCCGGTTCAAACACCAAAGGGTGTTTGCTGGTGCAGAGCAGCACCTGCGTTGGCCCTGTGCATCTGCCCTCTTTCGAAAGTGAGGATGCTGAAAGGGCCTCTGCAAGCGAGGCTTTCCCCTGGCCGCAGAGGAAGAGGAGACCGCTGCACCCCTCTGCCAGGTCTGGGTGTGCAGGGTCCGTGTCCCGCGCAAGGGTCCGCATCCAGTGCAGGTTATCGTTCCACGTCGCTCTGAGCCTGCGAGCGCAGCACTGGCCGACTTGCTGAGCATCGTCAGCTCCTGGTCGTTTCCAGCAGAGCCTTTGTGCTGGGAGAGGTGGGACGCCGTGAAGGCAGAGCCTGCGTTAGGCAAGCTGCAGGAGTCTCCCCACCCTGGGTTTCAGCGCGTCCCCTCCCGGGAACGTGAGGCTGTAACCTGGGTTGTGCCAGGACTGCCGGACCCGTGAGCGTGTCCCGTTGACGTATGCAGGTCTCCAGCTTCTTGCCGGCATTGCACTGGGTTGGTGCAAAGTGCTGCTTCTCCAGCCGTTGCCCGTGCCCTGCGTGGCTCCATCCAGTGCTTCTGCGGGACCCTGCCTGTGCTGAGCAGCGCGAAGGGGTTGCTCTTCTCTCCTGCATCTCTGGGCTACCTTGGGGATGCCTTGATCTGTAGGAGAAAGGACCAGGGCTTGTCTCTTCAGCCTCCGTAGGTGGTGTGGCTGTGAATAAGATGCAAACGGGCCTGGTCCCACACGCAGCGACTCTGCCTGCCTGGGGACCCTCATGGAGCTGCTGCGGGGCTGGGCTGGGTGCCGATGCACATCAGCCGTCCCGGCTGCCCGCACTGCCTGCTGCCTGCCCTGGATTTAGTGTCTGAAACAGCGCTGGTGCCCCTCAGCCTTCAGCCCCTCTTCTTGTCTGCTGTGGGGCAGCCCTGGTGCGACTGCAGATGCCCTTGTCCTGCAGCAAATGGTCTGGCTGATGAGCGGTACCTGCGTTTGCTTTAAAGCACTTTGAATTTATGGGGATGTTGGGGTGAAACGCATACCTGAGGAAGCAATGGCAGGAGGTGCTGCAGGCTTACCGGGGGATCAGGGGGCCGGGAGCCCTTCTCTGGAGCTGCTTCTCCAGCCACCTGCTTGCTCCCTCCATCAGCTCAATGTCTAAAGATTCCCCTGGAGCTTGGGTCGGCCTGTGGGGAGGAAGCTGTGCCCTGATTTTCAGATTTATCCTCTTGTGGGTTTCCAGACTTGGGTTTTTTACAGGCTATTATTAGTCTGGGGGCGGGGGGGAAGCCTTGAGGAGCCCACAAAGACAGCAGACAAAGCGGCAGCGAACTAAAAGGGCTGTAGCATCACTTGACAGTTCATTTGTCAAATCCCAATGGTGAAGAAAGGCCGTTTCCTTATCCCGAGCAGAGTGACTGGAAGGGCGGCGTTGGGCACACCGAGCAATAATACCCCCTGTCTGCCGCCGTACCGTGGTGGGCCCTGTCTTCATCTCGGAAAGCCGCTGCTCACGCGGAGGGTGACTTTTCCAGCAGGGAGATGTAATGAGTGGAAACAGGTTGTTATGCTGGATGGCAGGGCTGCTATCTGATTAGTGTTTTATTTAGACCACATGTTAGAATAAAATTAAACAAACCCGATGTGTTGGAGGAGCGGGATGGTTAACGCTGAGCACGGGTTGCCCCGTGGCCGTTCTGGCGCTGGCAGTGTCACTCCACAAGCTTGTGGCACTTGCCACGTCCCCTCGGGGTGTTTTGCACAGCAGCGGCCGCGGTTCGGGGTGGCTTCGTGCAGATCCCCCCCAACGGGAGCGGACACTCGCGCTGCCTTTGTGGCTTTGGGCTCATGCAGCCAGAACTGTCTGTTCTCGTCATGCTCTTCCCCCTAACGACTCCTGGAAGAGAGGCACGGGCAGATCCCAGCCAGACCCCGTACCATAACACGGGAGTACTGAAGGAAACTTGAAGCAACTGGTTGCCTCCCAGGAAAGGAGACACAGGAGCCAGAAATGACTGCTCTTCCTCCAAAAGTGTCTGGACTCCAAACAGCATTGGGGACACAAACCAGAACGTGCTGAACTATTGCTGGGACCGCTGCTCCGTCCGTGGAACAGGGCTGGGGCTGGATGAGCCCATGTTCCTCCCCAGGCTTCTGTCTGGGTGCTCCCGCGGCAGCAAGGCAGCTGTCGATCCCAAGAGTGAATCTTCGGGATGCGAGAGTCCCTGGATCCTTGTGGCAGGAAAAGCCGATGTGCCAGCCAGAAGATCGGCGGGAGCCAGCAGCTCTTCGACACCCACATCCCAGATGGGGGAGCCCCCCGGCCCCTCTCCTGCAGCTCCCAGGGAGCAGCTCTGCTGGAAGCTGGCTCCCTCCTGCTGCTGCTGATCGAGGCGGCCAGCTTGGTCCCGGGCTTTGCTGGGTGAAGCTGGGCAGGATTGTACCGGAGGGGTTGTCTCGCTGGTCCGAGCCCATGGCTTGCATCGCCAGGGCTAGTCCAAATGCAGGTGTGCTGGCGATGCTCCGCTTCGCTCCCTTGGGACCACAGTCGGTGGGTCACATGCAGCGTCTGTCCCCTCAAGAAGGGAAAAAGGCTCCTTCATCGCCGCTCCCCAGACGTGGCTGGCACGCATGCACTGTGTTGGGTTTCTTAGCGCTGCTTCTCAAATCTCCGCTTGATCTTGCAGGTGTTGGTACAGAGCAGCCGTGTCCTGGATGTGCATCGCAGCTGCGAGTCCCCGCTGACGCCGCCTGCTTTTGGGGAGCAGGGAGAGGGGCTGCGTCACGCCGGCTCCTGCCAGAAACCTCTGGGAACAGACCGGAGGGAGCAGTGGTTCTGCTCCGAGCCCCGTTTCTGCTCCTGCTGTGCATGGGTGCAGGCAGGTAGCCGTGGCTGCGCGTCCGTGAAGTCATCGCTGATTGATGGAGGGGGAGCAGTCTTTGTCCAACACGCAGAAAAACTGCGGGGATGTGAAATTCCAGCCTTGTCCCAGGAGCTGGTTACAATATCAAAGTAATTTCCTGTACGCGTTTTGAATTCTAAGACTTCATGATATTTAAATGCCAAAGAGAGATGGTAAAGGTGAATATGATAGCTTGGCAGGAAAGGGAGGTTGGAAGACACGGGCTTTTGTTGGAAAGGAAGGAAGTGTCTATAGGACACTGTGGAAAAAGCAAACCTTGTGAATGAACAGCTTTAACCATCTGTCTTGCAGGAGCAGCCTCTGGTTGCGTGGGGACTAACCCGCTGCGCTCGCTCCCGGCTTTTTAGCTCTTGTTAAGGAGCGGGAGAGTTGCGGGCTGGGAGCCGAAACCTCAGGGAGGTTTGAGTGGAGCGGGAATCCCGCAGCCAGCATGCAGGGGCTTCGTCAGGAACGGTCCCTCCCGAGGAGCCACCCGTGAGCACCGGGCTGGTGCTGGGACGTTTCCTGTCAGACCTTGTCCAAAACCAAGGAGCTGGTGGGAAGTTCCTTGGCCCTCACTGGCCTCTCTTGTCCGTGAGCATCTGCCAGGAGGCTTTTTGTTGCTGTTTTCTTACGCTGCAAGAAAATAAATCCCACTGCAGCTTTCTTGGACTAAATTACAGGTTCACACCTGTATGCAAGCTTTGAGTTTTGAGGCTTATGGAGTTTTCTTGCTCTGCAGAAATGTTAGTGGTCCTCACGATGCTGCAGGAGGGGGTTCTCCATTGCACCAAAGCTGGAGTGCGATTCAGGTTAGGCTTTGGGGGTGGGGAGCTCCCTGCCAGCGAGGGCGAGAACCCCAGGAATGGGCTGAGAGGACTGGAGACATACCGGATAAACACACCAGGACGAGGTCAACCTTGTCTTGGGGCAGGGAGACTGGCTCAGTCTTCTGGGGCTGGACGGACCGAGAGCTGGTAAATGCCCAGTGCCGCGGCGGTGTGCAGTGATGATTTCTGGGGGAGCGAGAGCACGGGGATGGGCACGCCGTAGGCAGAGGTACAGCCGCGTGTCTGCTGAGCGCCGGTGCTGGAGCCCGTGCAGAGCTCTGCTGTTGTTGGACCCAGTCCGCAGGGCCGATGCTCGGCCCCGGCCGAGGCTGGAGGCCGATGCTCAGCTGCTGGGCAGCTGAGCTGCCCGCTGCTGGGCTGGCAGAGCTGGCAGGCGTCTGGGTCTCCTGCTCCAAATGGGCAGGAGTACGTGAAGTGGACGCTGTACCTCCCCGCTAAACTGAGTGCTGTAGTGAAAAAGGAGCCTGGGTTTTATTCCAGGCTGCTGGAAGGGATATTCAAGGTCAGAGACTTGCTCTGTGGAAGGACCTCTCTAAGTGGAGACTCTTGCACATCACTTAGTAATTTCGGCTACAGCTCACGGAAAGGAAGCACTGCAGCCGGCTCGGGGGAGCTGTGCGCGCTGCAGCAGCTCGGGCTGTGTCTAGCTGAAAACTGTTTGAAAAACTCCAAAAGCCTGTGTGGCCGGACTCCAAAACAGTAAAGCCAGGACTGTTACGTATACCGGCAGATTGGTGTGGATAGGCGGTGGAAGAATACTTCCGCCTAAGGTTTTCTTTAATTAGTAATTAATTCCTTGTCCTGTAGTCTTCACGATGCGGGGATGCTTAAAGCGTGCTGAAAGACTCTCTGCCAGTCTGGGCTTTTCATAAGAGCTGAGCAAGCCAGTTCAGCAAGCGTTCGTGGTCCTGCTTTTCCGTTCGCTGTCACTAACGGAGCCAGCTCGATGGCTCCTCTGGGTGGGTTTTGCAGGGCAGACTTGAGGCTTCTGCACCGTCTGCCCTACGGGTCTGGAACCGTGCTGCCTGACCGGCCGCTGTGTGCCCCATGCATGAGAGCAGAACGGGACCAGCCAGCTTCTGCTCAGGCTCACCGGGGATGCAGCGGAGACCTCTTGCTTTGCGCACTAGACGTGGCTGTGCCAAGCAGAAAAGCAAACCTGCGCTCTTCTGCTTGCCTCCTTCCCTGCTCCTTCTGCTTTTGCCATGGGCAGGTGCTTGGCTTTGGCCCTTAAGGATGCTCCGCTTGTGTGAGTGGGTCCTCCGGGCACTCATCCCTGGAGAAATCCCAGCCCCGGCTCCTGATGAAACATACAGACAAGCGCAGCACAAAACTGCCGAAAGCCTCAGGTCTGGCATGGCAGGGCCTGTGTTCCGTGCGTACGGAGGGTCAGTGTTTTATTTTCCATTGTTAGTCTCCACTTGGGACATGTGAGAGGCGTGACTGGATGTCCTTCGTTAAGGCAAGCCGGGCTCTCTGGGGCTCCTGCAGCTGCTGGAGGATGTGGCTGCGGCGGAGACCCAGGGGTGCCCCCACCCTGCAGCCCCCTCGGGTTGGGCGGGGGTGATGGTCCCTCCAAGCACCAGTCCCTTGTCACCGCAACTTGGCCCATCCCTACGAGAAGCCAAAATAGCAGGAACCCAGTTCAAAAGCTGAAAGACCTTTGTGTTGAGACACTCTTACTAAATTCTGTTTTCTTTATGTGTGTGGTAACTACATTCCTCTTGCTTGTATTGAAGGCTAAGATTTATCCATTGCTAATATTTGTTTTGTTTTGACAGGATAATGTATGTTTCCCATATGTTGCTCTGTGCTTGCAGCAAAATAATCCCTACCTATAAAATATTAATGCAAAAAACCCCTCCTTAAAGTAGTTCTGGACTTCTTTACTTTTCAGTCTGTTGTCTTGGATCACTTTAACGGCAAACGTCACGGCGTAAATGGAAGTAGCAGTGAGTTATGGGCTCGTCTCTCTCCAGCTAAAGCCCTCGCATAACTCATCCCTTCCACAAGCACCCGAATGCCTCCCGCGTGTCCCAGCACTCCCCTCGTTTGCTGCTCTGCGACCTGCTAGACGGGCAGGGCTGCGGGCAGGGCAGGCAGCCCTAACCTAACCGCCATGCTTCTCTCCCCAGCTGTGCCGTGGAAACGCTGAAGGTCATGCTGGCCCGGGGGGGCAGCGAGGAGGTCGCCAGGGCCGTGGGCAGTGCCGGCGGCTGGGAGCTGATGGTGAGTCCGGAGAGGCACCACGACGGGATCGCCGTGCTCGCCGGGTAAGATGCTGTCACCACGCACCGGTTCTCCGGTATCTCCTCTAGCTTTGGTGCAAGAGCTGCACCGTGGCCGTTGGGAGCGGGACAGCACCCTGTAGCGAGTGGGGAGGGAGTGCGCCGTGTCCTGGGGGAGCTGCGATGCATCAAAGCCTGTGGTGGAAGGTCTTGCCGGCTTCCCGCAGTATCACCAAGGGACTGGCAGTGGGGCTCTGCCTTGTTGCCCACCATGGGGCGGCCAGCTCTGTCCCCAGCTCGCTGGAAGCAGCCCGGGTGGGGAGCCCACGGGGGATGAGCTGTGTTCTTGGGAGCGCGGTGGGGCTGGATGCAGCTGGCGGCTGCCATCGGCTCTGCTGCGGTGTGCCTGCCGTCCCATGCTTCCCCGGCGTGCCCCCCTCTGGGGCTGTGTGGCAGCTCTTCAGGCACGTCAGCCAAACCTTTGCTGCTCTCGGCTGCTTCGCTGTGCTCCCGTCAGCGCTCAGGCTCGCTGTTCCTGTCTAACCAAGGTATGACAGACACCAAAAGGTCTCGGGTGGAAGTTTTTTCTCCTTTCGCTGCTGCTGCAATGTCCTTGCGGTTCATCCGCTACAGCAGCATCCAATCCCTGTAGACGGCTGGCTGGCGGCTGCCTGTCCTTCCCATGGCGGCTGTGCAACCTCGTGCCAACGGCAGCGAGTTTGGCATGAGGCTGCGAGGCCGAGGGACGGCTGCAGCTCACGGTCCGGTTCGGTGGAGCCCGGTTCAGCTGGGGACTTCACTGTCCCTCCACCCAGCACCATTAATAGCTCTTGGACGGCTGCAGAGGAGACGAGCAGTTTGGGATTTTCCAGTATTTGCAAAAATGCTTTATTGAACCTCACAAACACTTGAGAGTGTCTCATCCAAAACAAAAACCGTCCTTCCTGGCCGAGGTCCGCCGGAGCAGGCTCCTGCCAGGGTGCCCAACACGCAGCAGGCGTGGGCTCGGTCCTGCCCTGCGCTTCGTCCCTATCTGCCCTGGATGTCAACATGCTGGTTCTGCACAGCACCAGGCTGCAGAGGCGTGAAAGACGGGTAGCGCAGGCAGCTCCTGTGCACTGGGCAGCGCAGGCAACGCAGGCAGCTCCCATTGCTTCACATGCTCCTGTGCACGTGGAGCGACGGGAGCTGCCTGCGCTGCCCGTTTGGCTGCCCGTGGTCCCGCTGCTGCTCGTGGTGCTCAAAGCACCCTGGGCTGTGGCTGCCTGTCCTGTGGCACGGGGAGGAGGTGTGGCTCGGCAGAGGCACGTTGTGGCAGCCCACTGATGCCCCACGGCACAGGGCTCAGTGCCAGCACCCCGCTGCGCTTGATAGCTCACAGACCGCTGGGTGGAGGGGCTCGCCAGCTTCCTCAGCTTCCTTGAAGCTCCCCGGGGTCCAGGGGCTGCCTGTAGCCCCTGGCGCGGGCAGCCAGCGCGGGTGACGCATGCCGCTTCTCTTGGCAGCGGTATGGCCCGACACGCCGGCCCCCGGCTCCCCCTGATCGTGAAGAACCTCATCCCAACACTGAGCAGCGTCTTTGACAGCCAGAGGATCACCACCACCGCCTTCTTCGCCGAGGTGAGCAGGGGGTGTCGTGGGGAGGCACAGCAGCGCGGCTGAACCACCACTGCAGGCTGGCTCCTGGCCGTCCGTCCGTCCGTCTTTCCCTGCCCGGCTGGAGAGCCACCAGGATGAGGGTTAAGCTGCAAGCAGGGCTCTGCCTGAAGCAGGCTCTGCCTGTCCTCCTCGGCTTCCCGACCCTGTGGTAGAGAGGATGGCAGAGAAGCGCTTGCAGGAGTCCAACTCTGAACACATCACCGCCATGAGCCAGCAAACCGTAACTCTGTTCTTACGTACCACCCTAAGGAATGAAGTGACTCAAGTCCTTTCCCCTCGCCGGCAGCGCAGCCAGCAGACTGTAACACTATCTCTCCGTACATACCACCTTAAAGCCCTGGGCCACTCGAGGAGTTTTTGTTACATAAAGGAGCACCTTATGCCAACAATGCAGAACTATATCCCCCCTTATAAACCACCTTTTAAATTCTCAGCTGCTTAAGCAGCCTGGGATTAAGGCACTGTTTTTATTTTCTGTTTGGCTGGGGGAGCTGCCGGCCTGGCTTTTGGAGCCTGTCCCAAAATCTGCTTTAGTTTTGGAGTGTGGTTGGCTCTCTGCATCCTTAAAGGGTTTAAAATAGCAGCTTTGCCTCACCGTGGAGCTGGAGGGGAAGGAAGCAAATGCCTGTGTCTCCCTCTCTCAAAACTGATGAGGTGAGAGCTCAGTCCCTTTTCTCTCGGCCGTGCCAGTGACGGAGATGACAGAGGGGAAGCGAGGAGGGGAACGGCCACTGGGCTGGAGCAGCGGGAAGACGGGCAGCATGGGGCTGCTGTGCAGCAGCCTCTGCTCCCCCGGCCTCCGCAGAGTCCCCCAGACGGCAGCAGAGGTGCAGCCGCTGCCCCAGGACGGCTGTCACTGCCTCGTCCCAGCCGGACGGGGGGGGCTCTGTGCCAGCCCCTGGGACCCAGGGGCAGCTCTGGGGTGCCGTCAGTGCCTGCATGTGGCTACCGGCAGCCCTCGCTGCCCACGGGTGTCCGGCCCAAGCTCTGTGCCTGCACAGTGGTTGCCTGCATGTGGATCAGGCTCCATGGTGCTGGGACTCGTGTCGCAGGGTCCCTCTCAGCCCCGGGGCTCCTGGCCTCTCTGCAGTGGTGGCAGGTGACAGGGGGGGGCACAGGGGGGCCCCCCGCC